GTATTTGGTCAGTAGGAGGCAATAACATGTAGATTAAGATGCCCTTTAACTGTCTGGCAGCCACAATCAGTTTCCTATTCAGGTTTGGGGAAATGCCTTTAGCCATTCCCAACAGGTGACTACATGTGGAGCTCAACCATAGAAGCAAGAGGGAAGTGGGCTACAGATGAAGCAGCCTGGGAGGCTGCCCTAAAACCAGGGGTGCCCTTACAGATTCTGGTGACTCTCCCAGACCCCGACTTACCTACCTCACCAGCCTACATGGAGAAGGAGGAGAAACTAGTCACACAGAGGTGGGCCTCCAGGAGTCTGGAAGGATGGTGGACTTTACCGGATGGCCGACTTTTGGTTCTTGAGGCTCTAGGTAAGACAATAGTTAAACAGTTTCACCAGTCCACCCACCTAGGCCATACCAAGCTTCCTGAACTTTTAAGGGATAGATACTATATATCCATCCTAGATAGTATAATAGACAGCATTGTGTCCCGATGCATCACTTGCACTCAAGTGAATGCCAAACAGGGTAAAAAACAACAACCCAGGAATCTGGGCTCAGGGAAAGTCCCCGGGGGGAAACACTGGGAAGTAGACTTCACAGAAGTCAGGCCCACGGCGGCAGGGTATAAATAACTCTTAATTTTCATAGACACCTTCTCAGGATGGGTTGAAGCTTACCCGACTGGGACAGAAACTGCCACCATTGTAGCTAAAAAGTTACTCCAGGAAATAGTCCCCAGGTTTGGCTTACCTATAACTCTAGGATTGGACAATGGACCTGCTTTTATAGCCAAAATTTCACAGGACATAGCAAAGACATTAAATATTAATTGGAAACGACATTGCGCCTATCGGCCCCAAAGCTCTGAGCAGGTAGAGCACATGAATAGGACCTTAAAAGAGGTCCTCATCAAATTTACCTCAGAAACCAGTGAAAAGTGGGCCACCCTACTCTCCTTTGCCTTTGCCCTACTCAGGGCTAGGTGCACCCTATACCAAGTGGGGTTTTCCCCATATGAAACTATGTTAGGAGACCCCCTCAAATACTCCCAGGACTTAGGGAAGAAATAAAAGCTGAAATCCATAACCAATCTCTACTCAAGTCCTTACAGGCTTTGTAGTCCACCCAGAAAGCAGTCCAGAAGCACTTCTAAGATGCTCTGCCTGTACCAACTTCTGATCCAGTCCATCCTTTCCAACCTGGTGACTCTGTTTGGGTAAAGAAATTCACCGCCCAGGGACTGACTCTCACCTGGAAAGGACCACACACCGGCATCCTAACCACCCCCAGGGCAGTCAAGGTTGAGGGGATCCCAATGTGGCTTCATCACACCCGACTTAAGGCAGCACAAGCAAAATGGAGAGTCTAGGACTCCTCGGACCCTCTAAAGATAAAACTCTCACATGTGTTGTGCTTTTAATTCTCTTTAGAGAACTGGCAGAAGGAAAAAATAATTTTCTAGCTGAATGGGTTTACAATCCCCATAAGCTGAATCAGAAGTGGGTTTGGGAATTCAGGAATGGAATCACTGGGGAAATTCTTACTAATGTATCTGAACCAGACTGGGCAGGTATATTCCTCACTACAGATCTGTGTACCCTATTCAAAGATATCCGTTCCATACTCTGTACCAGAGGGGATCGGATTCCTGCCAGAGGCCAACCAGGGGGAACACTTCCTATATGAATCTGGTTACAGTAAAGGGTGTGGAAGCACCCCCAGGCAAAAACCTTACAAAATTTAGGTATATATATATATATATATATTAGGGATCCGGAAAGGTCAGTTACCAATGTCCAGAGCAAATGAATATTTTTGCCCCCATTGTGGTTGTGAAACCATCTCCACCACACCTTCCTCTTGCTCAGTAGAGAATTGCAACCCCATAGAATTTAAGGTCAAAAATAGCCAGGACCATTCCTGGAACATGGGAAGAACATGGGGAGTAAGATTATATGTAACAAGTAAAGATCCAGGTACCCTCCTAACTATCCAAGGAAAAGCATACTCTGCCCCAGAGGCACATAGGCCCTCTCGCAGAGCTAGCTTTACCTACCCCAGTCGGTCCTGCTCCGACCAAATCACCCCAAATCTCACCTCTTCCAACCCACCCTCCAGCCTTCCCTTCCCTACCACCTTTCCCGACTTCTCCCCGAGAACCCTCTCTTTTCACTATGCTCGCAGCCGTGCGTCGGTTTATAAATGCTTCACAACCTGAACTGGGAGCCGATTGCTGGCTATGCTTGAACTCCAAACCCCCGTATTATATGGGTATAGGAGTCTCTGAACTTCCCCATCTTGGCACAGACCCTAAGAAATGCCACTGGGAACAGCTGAGATTAACTCTGGGGGACATCCAAGGGAAAGGCACCTGTTTAGTATTCACCGCTTAAAACCTTTTAGCTTCCCCTTTCTCGGACCTCTGCAACTTCACCCTTTTGGTGAACAGCAGCACCGAGGCCTTCTATCAGGCACCAAATCATACCTGGTTGGCCTGCATAGATGGCCTCACCCTCAGTGCTTCCTCCCTCAGGTTCGGGAAGGCTTCAAAACCCCTACTCTGCATTCTTGTACATGTTTTTCCTATACAACAGGAATGAGGGCAGAACCCTAGTCTTTCCTCAAAATCCTTATCATGATGGAAGAGGGCTCCAATCTTGGTCCCTATATTAATCGGGCTAGGGATTTCAGGCTCTGCAGCAATAGGGACTTCCGCCCTAGTGAAAGGGGACATTAATGTAGCAGAGCTCACCAGACAAGTGGACGCTGACCTTAGCCACCTTGAAAGCTCCATTTCCCAAATAAACGAACAGGTCGATTCCCTAGCTGAAATTGTCCTCCAAAATCGACGAGGGTTAGATCACCTCTGTGTAGCATTAGGGAAAAACTGCTGTTTCTATAGCAATAACACAGGGGTCATACAAGAAAGCCTATCTCTAGTCAGAAAAAAATATAGAATACATGGAAAAGAAATCAGAACAATCTCAGAATTGGTTTCGAAAATTATCCAATTGGTCTCCCTGGCTAACTACCCTCTTCTCTTCCACCATAGGACCTTTACCCTTATGACTCCTTGCCCTCCTTCTGGGCCCCTGTCTTATAAACTGGTTTACTAACTTCATTCAACAAAGAATTAATTCTGTCAAGATCATGGTCCTCAGGGGTCGGTATAACCCCCTCCCCAACAATGACTCACAAGAGTCAATGATTTGACTCATGACCATAAAACCAGTGGGAAATGATGCATAGGCACTCCATCTTGCTACCGTAATCTCTATTCTGCTGTTTGAAATTTTAACCCTGCTATTTTGACTTCTGTAAATGCTTGCTTGCTTGAAAAACAGAGAAAATAAGTCCAACTATCTGGATTTGCAAGCTGCTCTGATACCGCTTCTAGCTACTGCCATGCAAGGTGTTTGTTAGTTCTCATAAATGTACTGTGCTCAAGGTTAAAAGCTGCCTGTGAAAAATAACCCACAGAGAGCTCTTTGTAAAGTCTGCACAAGGTCTGGAAAAACCCTTATTTGGGAGGCTGAGGAGGTATAAAGGGAGAGCTTCTTCCATGCTGTTTTGCTCAGATTTGGGAGACCTCTAGCATAATAAAGGCTCCTAATTACTACTTAATTTGGCTTATTAAGGCGTGTTATGTGAGCTCATTGATTTACAATAAAATTTCTGCTTTTTTCTTTAAAATTATTTCAAATATCTAGAAGAGTTCTATGGAAATTCAGTGATAAATGTGCCCTGTAATTCCCTGAGCAACAAAGTTTCATTTGTTTCTAAAATGAATTCATGCCATAGGCTGGATAATATTTACTATGAGACTCTGATAATGGTCTTCTTGACCAATAAAGTCAGGAATGATTTTCTCATCTGGACCCCTGCAATCCTGGTGTGTATGTTTTAGGACAGCCTTGAGAATCCTTGTGATTTGATATTCCTATTTCCATAAAATTTTCATCATTTTTATATTCTTTGCATTGCTATTGATAATGGTCACAGTGTGCCTAGATTTCAAAGAAAGAGATAATTTGTATTTTTTATTTTTTTTTCATGATGAAGGTTGTAATGCTTTTATATAAGGTTAGTGGGAGGGATGGACCAACAGACTTCTGAGGACAGAAAGAACTAATGAGACATGCTGAACTAGTATGAGTTATATAATAATTATTGAAATAATAATCATTTCAAACTGCCTTCAACAAACACAGTGAATTGTTCATCATGTCTGTAAGTAGCTAAGTTATTCTGTGCCTTGTTTTACAAGAAGTGGGCATATATATGTACAGACATATTTGGAGAGAATGAAAATTCAGTAAGTCCCTTTAGAGCATGGGTTCTACATTATCAAACCTACAATTGGAACCATATACCCATTATGAAAGACTAAAAGGAGAGTGAAAACAACCAGGTGAAGCTTTTTAGGGGGCTGTGAGGTAAAGAGAATTAGCTATTGAAACCAAAGTCTTTCATAAACAGCTCAGTTCACAATAGGAAGCAATTAGCTGTTCTATTTCTCAATCCACATAAGTTTTTTTAAAAATATATTTTATTGATTTTTTACAGAGAGGAAGCGAAAGAGATAGAGAGTTAGAAACATCGCTCAGCTTCAATCCACATAAGTTTTGATGATAAATTAACTTAAACAGGATGAAAGCAAATGACTTCCATGTCTGTAGGCAAGAAGTGATGCTGAGGCTGGATGCACAGTAAAACACAGGAGCATTGGTGGTCTCCCAAAATGAAATGGAAGGATGAATCATTTTGTACAATTCTAACCTTTGAATAGTTTCTTTAGCAAAAGATAAAACTACAGGATTTTGCACCAAAATAATTTTAAAATATTCTGAATATTTGCAAAATAATATTAATATGGGAATAGACTACTTAATGTTCTTGCGTTCATGTGTAATGTTTGAAACACAGTTAAGCTAATGTTTTGGTATAACTTTGCAATTAGAATAACAAATTTAAAAATATATTCATATGGCTTTATTTTTGGTTGACTTTTTATAAGTCTTTATGTTTGGCATGACATATTTATAACTCTTAACTAGGTAGTCACTTGAAAACAAATTTGGATCTGAGAAGCTAAATTGTGAAAAGTAAGGTCTTCACAGGAGATAGTGACCCTTACATCGCGACTTCTTGCTGGAATGAAGTGGAGGAGTCCCATCTACGAGGCATATCAGCTTCAGGGCTCTGAAAACAACTACTCTCTTTTACTCTTTCCTGTTTTAAAAAACTTCCGGCAACAAAACAGAACACATTTTGCGATGACAAATGTAGCAGTTGCCACGCAGGCCAGCAGGAACCCAATCACATCCAAAGAGTGGTACTGGAACCAGGTGAGGTCATGGGTGGCTGGCCGAAGATGTTTGGCTCCTTTGTGTCGCATGACAAACTCGATCCAGAAGACCGCTTGATCTAGAGGTTTCACTGGTTGGTCATGATGAATTCTTGATAATTTCATAGCATTCTCCTTATATCTGAAGGAGAAACACAAAGATCCCAACATTGAAAGAAAGTTAATTTGCTTACTAATAAGCCAATCATTCCCATTCAAAGTTGTGTTTTTTAATTAAAAAATATTTTATTGCCAGGCCAGCATGGCTAAGTGGTTGAGCCTTGAACCATGAACCAGGAGGTGACCATTAGATTCTGAGTCAGGGCACATGCCCGGCTGGCCTGCTTGATCCCCAGTGTGGGATGTGCAAGAGGCAGTCGATCAATGATTCTCTTTCATTATTGATGTTTCTCTCCTCCTTTCTTCTGTGAAATCAATAAAAATATATTTAAAAAACATTATGCCATATAAAAGTAGCCAGTTCCAAAAGAAAACATATTGCATGATTCTGTTATTATGTAATGTCCAGAAGGACAAATCTATAAAGAAAATAAGTTGATCAATGGTTGCTTGGATGAGGGAGCTGGGAAGTGACTTCTAAGGCATATGATATGTCTTTTTGGGATGACAAAAATGCCCTAAGTTTATATTATGGTGATAGTTTCATAGCTTTGTAAGCATACTACATATATTTGAATTATATAATTTCAACATGTGAATTTTATGGTATGTAAATAATATCTCATAAAATCT